CGTGGCTCTGTATTGTAAACAGGCTAAGCTGGTACTTCCGTTCAAGTCGATAACCGAAGAGTTTAAAGTCGGCAAGGTAAGACTCGCCATGCTCTTGCGCGAGTCTTCAGACCCAAATGTCATCGCTGTCCAGCCCGCTCTAAAGACTGGAACCAAATGGAGAGTCCTCGATGCGATAGAATCTGCTCAGAACGCACTAAAATTGAGAGAGATTATGGGTTACACACAAACCGACCGTCGAGGCCTAGGGCACGGGAAGGTAAATTGGTGGTCGAAGGCCTCAGCCAAAGAACGCCGAGACATGGTAATACAAACGGTGAGGGACAACGAAAACGAGGTTCGGGTCCAGAAAGCAGCCCAACAGTCGCAGCAGGGCCATTGGGTCAGCCTGGAGAGCGCATTGCCAAGAGTACTCACATGGGGTGAGATCTGGCGGATGACCCCGCTGCGACTGAGCTTTATCGTTCGTTCGGCGTACGATGTATTACCGTCCGGTGTTAACATGGTTAAATGGTCTGCGACCAACGATCCGACTTGTCCGTTGTGCAAATCGAAGCAAACTCTTGAGCACGTCCTGTCCGCGTGCAGGAAAGCTCTAGGTCAAGGCCGTTATACCTGGCGCCACAACAAGGTGCTAAAAGAGTTAGCAGCCGTTGTCGACCAGGCTAGAATGAGGGCTAATGCCAGAGCCAGTTCTAGTATCACCCCCATTCGTTTCCTCAAGGCTGGGCAGGTTCCAATTGGTAAGGTCAACAAAAACGCATTCGCTCCATCTGTGCTAGACTCTGCGAGGGACTGGTTACTGGCGGTTGATCTGCCAGGCCATGAACGGTATCCCGAGTTGATCCGTAAAACCGGCCTGCGACCGGACATCGTTCTCCATTCTGCGCAAAAACGGCAGCTCATCCTGATTGAGTTGACGGTCCCGTTTGAGTCGCGTATGGAGGAGAATCATTTGTACAAGCTCGAGAAGTACAGTGATTTAGCAGCCGGTTTGAGGAGAAACGAGGCTTACACGGTACGGGTATTTGCCGTCGAAGTGGGAGCGAGAGGCCTCGTTTCCACTTCGCTCTACAATGTGGTGAAAGAACTAGGATTGCGCGGTAATGAACGGAAACGAACACTCAAAAAACTGGGAGAGGTGGCCGAAAGGGCCTCTAGCTGGCTTTGGACGCAGCGCAACAACGTAGGGGACGGGCCTCGGTGAGCTGGTTCGGGTGTCTAGCGGAAAAGGGTTTCTCATCCCTTTGAAAGTCCATCGTGTCCGAATTGTCTGCCAGTGTTCCTCTGCCAACTGCTAATAAAAGTCCAACATGTGTCCGGTAAACCAAAATAAGCTTGTCGCTCGGTCGTCCAGGCATGCGGACTGTTTTAATTACGCGGCGGCTTCTTATCTCACAGTACCTCCTTCGAAACCACCAAGTCGTCTTGTCTCTGGCCGAAAGTATAACACCATCCGGTAATTCCGTGCAGCGGGGAACCAGCCCTGAGCGTCATGAACTCAGGAGGGCCCACCTCCGAATACGTCTAGGAATAGTGGGCCGAAACGTGTGTCGACGAGGATAATTTCTACTGATGACTGGTAGATTCCCGCTGTACTTGCTCCCTGTGAGTTTATTCCTATCATGTAATGGCCAAACCATTTCATTCTTTGTTTTTTAATTTCTTCTTCTTCTTTCGTTCGCATGAAATAAATTATCTTTATCTGCAGTGCTGTCTCTAGTATGAATTTCACTGTCTTTTGTAATTCAATAAGCAGCCCGTAAAGTTTGACTTCCACAAGTGTCTCTCTAGGCCAGAAGTTTTGCCTGGAAACGTTGAATCTGGGACAGTCTTGGAGGATGTGATCTGTTGTCTCAGGTGCCAGTCCACTGGTACACATGGCTGATTGGCCAATCTTAAATTTGTTGTACATGTGGCAGCGAAGTCGATTGTGCCCTGTTCTAAGGTGAAGGATAATGACTTGCTCTGGTCTGTCCATAATATGGTAATCGTTTTGTGCCAGTTTCGGTGGCATTCTGATTGATTTGATGATTCTCTCCGTATGTTGATAAGAGACTGGTATGTCGGGTTGTTCTTTAGTTGTACCTTCCTTACAACGGTTGCCTAGTTCGGATAATAGTGTTCGTATGCTTTGTAATTTTCCAGACTGGAGTACAGCTTTTGCATCAGTCAAGAATACCACTGGTTGTGAAAAATACCCTGTATTTAGTAGTTTCTCTACCGCTATCTTGATGGCTTGGACTTCTGCAACATAGTTGTGACAGTGCTTTCCTGTTGGTATTTTTGCTGTATCCCTGGTAATATTAGGATACTCTATGTACACTCCTGCACCTCCGTTTTTGGCTGCACTTTCTGCTGACCCATCTGTGTAAACACGGACCCAAAGATTCTGCGTGTATTCATCATCAAGTAGACTGAGGGTGGCTGTTTTGCGCTGCACACTGTTTTGTTCTTCCTTGTCAAATTCTCCTTTCACTTCTGTCTTGATGTGTATTGGAAACTTATACTCCTCTCTCCAGGGTGTCCGTTCTGGGACAGCATTTAACGATCTATCAGCTGCAGGCAAATCAGTGGTTTGTCTGCAGAGCCGTTTGGCCTAGTCGTCCTAAAGCTAGATTTTGGAATATTTTATTTATAGGGTAACTGGGCATGCTAAGAAACTTTTCTGCTTGTAAAAGCATCTTGGTGTCTCTGCGTTCACTCAGTGCTTGGGTCATCCCCATTTTCTCCATCACAACTATAGGTGTTGATTTCATACTGCCTGTGGTAACTCTGAGTGCTTGATTTTGCACTTTATCTAATTCTTGCAATGTGGTTTTTGATGCCGAACTCCATGCTGTAGATCTATATTCAAGATGTGGTCGAACACTTTGTTGGTAAACTTTCCTATATATTTTCCGCTAGCACCCCATGTGGTTCCACTTAGTTTTCTTGTTTTTTTTTTTTTAAATGAATTTAATTATTGTCGTTGTTGAAATAGTTTTTGTAATTTCCTCGTTTCTCACGCGATCTCTTCTAGTTTTGTCACGGCCTTTCTCAAACATCTTTTTTCGCAGGTGGTTATTTTTTTCCCCTGTGTTTTTTAGTCAATGTCCGACACTGATAACACAAGGCTGGATTGAAGATTACCTTTATAATTTGTCTCTTTTAAACATCTTCTGTGATAAGCAGGTGTTTCAAAATTACATTTATTAGATAATAAAAGGGTTACTGACACCGTTATTAAGACATCCAAACGTAAGTATGAGCGCCAAGAAACAGATTATAAACAGTATATTCATGCCAATACAGTGCTACCAGTGCCAGACTTGGACATGATCAAAGACTAACCTACGTAAATTTAACACCGGCAAAATGAGATGACCGAGAAAAGTCGCCGACTCAACCATCCGAGACAAAGTTAGAAATGACATTATCAGACAGACTGTTGGAACAACACCATGCAGCAAATTCATTGAGAAATAGAAGATCATATGGTTTGGTCATTTAGTAAAAATGCAGCCAAAACAACTATCAACGCAGGCGCCATGCATGCAAAGATATGAAGTGTAATCAAGTGGCCGCTCTAGGAGGATACTGATTGATGACATTAAAGAGTTTCTACAACGACATAAACTGACAATAGCCATTGCTGCCCATTAAGCAATGGATCGCAGACAGTTCCTCCCCACAACGCTTAACGGCAGAATTGGAAATCGAAAATAATAATGATTGAAAAGTGTTTATTGCCGCTGGAGGCCTATCGTCCCAGTATCTTCTATTTATAATTTATTGTATGTGTAATTTAGTAAAGCTGATCAAAACTTCATGTTTTCCGGTTTTCATGTTCACAGCATTACCATACTTCAACCAGTTTCCTTATAAAATCTCAAACGAAAAGATGTAAAACGTGTTATGTTAAACCAGCTCATTTATATGCTACAAAACATCCAGAATATATCATTATTTCTTTCTCCTGCATACATGATTCCATTCAATGTTGCGATTGGGGATTTTATGTAATATGGAATGACACACACACACACACACACACACACACACACACACACACACACATATATATATATATATATATATATATATATATATATATATATATATATATATATATATATATATAACTGCCAATTTCTCAAGGACGCATTGTGAATATTGTAATTCAGCAACAGTTCGAAATAGAAATAGGCAGATCGAAAAAGATGAATTTTAGTCATAAGTCTTTCTCCCACCTCCCCCCCCCCCTCCCCAACCCACTTCTCTCTTTTAAAAAAAAAGGAACAAGCAAGCGCATAAAGGCGAACCCATACAAAGAATATTTTAAGCATAAGTGATTTTGGCATTTATATTTGCATTCTTGCAGATGATACAAAGCTCCTGCAAAATGGGGGAAATTCTACTTGCATGATCTATGGGTGGACACATGTGCGTTTAAAGATATGTCTTCGTCGAAAGTGAACTTTCAACAAGAAGCTTGAAGAGTTACAACGAAATATATCACAATTTATTATTTTTGTATCCACTATTAACAGCCCCGTGTGGGCTCCGCAGCCCAGTAGGGGAGGAAGTGGGGGGGGGGGGGGGGGGGGGTAGACACACTTCTCCCGAACAAGAATGTCGTACAATGCCGCTAATTAGAGGCTATTTCTTTCTCAGTCTTGTTGGTCTGCCGTCCAGACAGATTCTTCCATCTCAGGATGGCGTTGTAAACCTACAGAGGTGACAAACCGACTGGACAAACCGAATGGAAAAAATGATTAGACATACCTGATTCCTGATTTGAACGTGGTCAAATTTTTGTTTGTGTTTTTCCACCAAACTAATACACACACTTCCTGATTTCTAACTCTTCAGCATCATCATTAACGATGGTGATTTCTAACTACTGGGAACAAATTGCAATCAAAGGTGACAACCGGAACCTACTGGTGTATTTGTGATAAACATAAAAAAACACTACCCACAATTTGCTGACACAAGATGTTTTAGAACAAGCATGATTAGTCTGAGGTGCTCTTCGCCCGAGACTTAGCTACTGGCTTCAGATGTTTATCCCGGATAGACATTTCTCGGCGAGTCTGTGGAACCCCTTCCTTGTCCAGCAAATTAACTGCAGTATCGCTAATTGATTTCTGCAGCACTCTTCTGCTTCCCACACCGTGATCGTATCTGTACATGGGTTTATAATTTAGCGGTTTCAGAATTTTAAATGCGCATTCCAAATCCTCATTGACGGTCATAATAGCTCCACTGTTGTCGTAGACTCCGGCGTAATTCGGTGCCGAAAACACGGTAACCAGTTGACGCTTGCCGAAGAATTTGTAGCCATCTTGCGTGACATCATGTGCTCTACAGACAATGTCCAAGTCGTTTTTCTCCAGAAACTGCTGTACTGTGTCGGGCCCGAATGTGTAGGAAGTCCCTCGAGCTTCGTTGAAGTGCCACCCTTTCGCTTTCGGGTCAGGATCAGGATCGGCCCAGACCAGATCCGAAACGAGGCCGTGGTCTGGGATGTCGGCAGGACGAGCTATTCGTCGGATTTGGCTGAGATTCATCAGTTCAGGACTCAAACCACCGTGGCAGCAAAATATCTTGTCACCCACGACTGCAGCTAGGGGCAAACAGTCGAACACATCGTTAAATTGCTGCCACAAAGCCCGGCTGTACCTCCTAACACACTCTTGAAGAAATCCATAATGTGCGTTAACACTTCCAGTTTCATGATTCCCGCGAATAAGGAAGAAATTAACTGGATATTTCACCTTGTATGCAAACAGAAGACAAATAACTTCCATGGAGTTGTGCCCCCGGTCCACGTAGTCACCAAGGAAAAGATAATTGGTGTCCGGTGGGAAACCGCCGATTTCAAACAAATGAAGCAGATCGTAAAACTGACCGTGTATATCACCGCAGATAGTGACCGGGGCTTCAAGCTCCAGTAAAGTGGGCTGCTCCAGCAAGACGGGTCTCACACAGTCCAGCAAGTCTTTGATGGATTTCTTGGAAAGTGGCACTTCTTTGCCGGGCCGGAGATTCTTCGCTGAAAATAGAATATACAGATTACAGTAAAATCATGATGATTACGAGTCACAAAACAAAACTATATTATTTATAAAACCCTAACGATTTCTAAAATACAGTGGTAAATAAATAAATAAGAATAAATTATCAGTTAGTGCGTGCGTTATAAGAAATCGTATATTTACAATAACCAGTGACATCAACGTTAACTCCTATAACTTATTAAAATTTATGGAAATAACATGTTATAAAACTCAAGCTTGCATATCCCCAACTCCAGTACACACGATTTGTTGAATACTGTGTTATCTGTGCCCAAATACCCACTCTTTATCTGTGTACTGGTACAATTATGACTGTTATTATCTTAATTCAGAATCAACACTGCCTCCCCTCTCCTGATAAAGTAACTGGTTAATTATTTCTTTATTCCAATTGCTGAACACCCCAGATTTCTTTACCCACTTACGAATTAAATCTAATATGCGTGTTGTACATGTACAGTTTGGTGATCATGAATAACATAAAGTGTTTGTTTATTCTGTATGTTTATATTTCTGTTCAGCGTTTGTCATAATATATAAGGGGTTCAGAGGGACCGTTCATTTGTAAAAATAATTTTTTTTTCATACCAGCCAACAGCTGACTTATGATTGCGTCCACATCAAAGCTAGATGAGGATGCCATGTTTGATACTTTTGTCGAAGTCGCTTTTCCGTGTGCGATACGTCTCTTGCCAAACGAATTTGTCAGGTAATGCAGTGATCAAGTCAGTCTACAAGAAACTGCTGTTTCTGGTTGCGAAGAGTTTACAATGGTCCGTACTAAAGCTACAGGCACGATTTAAATAGAACATGATTAGAATGCTGGCCAGATTTCTTAACGACATAGGTAAAACGTCTTTAAACAACGGCACTTAAAAAATATACATCTTCATGTAAAAATATACTGCTTTTTATATGTACACACTAGTAGAAGTTATTTTAAAATTGACTGCAGCACGTAAAAGATGCAACTAGTTCAAGATACTGAAAACATAACAATTAATTTAGATAATTTTAGACTACCAACTGGCAAGAGGACATATGTGTCGGGTAGTCTGCTGGTACCCGTTACATCAGTCAAGAGTTTCATCAGAAATAATTTATGTCCTGCTTAGTCAGAGGCAGCGCCGTCATTTGTAGAAGTGTGCTGATTCATGTGTTATCAAATATCGTGCTGTGAATCACAGACCGACTTATGTGACAGCACTTTCAGTTCTACCTGTAGGGTGTACCAAAAATACTTGCTAGATGTTTAAAGAATTCTAACTGTTGGGTGTACGAAACAAAATTCTATCTGATGCATACAGTATTGGCGTGATTATTTACTTCTTCTCTTTATTATTATTATTATCGCCTTCTTCTTCTTCTTCTCTCTGTCCCATAAAAATAAAATTTTCTTGTAGTCCATGACATTTATGTTATTGTTATGTGGAGTCATACATATTGTCTGGACAGTAATCTAGATACATTTAGGGGAACTAATAGGAATATTAAAATACAAATACAAAAGGCAAGATTTACCTTTACCTCATAGCACTAGGAAACTTATGGAAGTCAAACGAAATTAAAATTGGTTCTGCCCCGTGTGGGTTCCGGGGCCCTATTGTGGGGAAAACAAGAATAGACCCACTGCTTCCCCAAAAGCATGTCGTAAGAGTCGACTTACTGGGGAGCTTCCTTTGAAGTCGGAGTGCATCTGCCTGAGAGGCAAGGAACCAGCAGTCTACATTCAATTGAATCAGATCTGTAAAACTGATGCACACGCAACACTCAGGTTCTGGAGCAGGACTGCAGTCCAGAAGTGGACGAACAACCAGAACTTTACGCCAGAGTGTACAGCTGGTGAACGCGAAGAAGAAAATTGGTTCTAAACTTAAAAGTTTTTAGTTCTAATGTCAAATCAGTACTGACACAGGGAGCGGAGACGTGGAGAACAACTGAAACAATGACCAATAGACTATACACGGCCCTCTCTATATTAGAGACGGCGTTGACTATACACATTCATTAACTGGTGCCTACGCAAAATAAATAGAATTAAATGGTGTGATTGGAGAAAATTAAACAAGTTCTAGTGGACAGAGATGTGAAGAAAAGATTTGGCGCTGGATAATACACACGGTAACAAAACACACACACCCACCTAAGAACAATATAACTAGAATGTCTGCACTGGAACTTACAGACACATAGGATAAAGGCAGAAAACACACACACCCACATAACAACAATATAACTAGAATGTCTGCACTGGAACTTACAGACATATAGGATAAAGGCAGAAAACACACACACCCACCTAAGAACAATATAACTAGAATGTCTGCACTGGAACTTACAGACACATAGGATAAAGGCAGAAAACACACACACCCACCTAAGAACAATATAACTAGAATGTCTGCACTGGAACTTACAGACATATAGGATAAAGGCAGAAAACACACACACCCACCTAAGAACAATATAACTAGAATGTCTGCACTGGAACTTACAGACATATAGAATAAAGGCAGAAAACACACACACCCACCCACCTAAGAACAATATAACTAAAATGTCTGCACTGGAACTTACAGACACATAGGATAAAGGCAGAAAACACACACACCCACCTAAGAACAATATAACTAGAATGTCTGCACTGGAACTTACAGACATATAGAATAAAGGCAGAAAACACACACACCCACCTAAGAACAATATAACTAGAATGTCTGCACTGGAACTTACAGACATATAGGATAAAGGCAGAAAACACACACACCCACCTAAGAACAATATAACTAGAATGTCTGCACTGGAACTTACAGACACATAGGATAAAGGCAAAACACACACACCCACCTAAGAACAATATAACTAGAATGTCTGCACTGGAACTTACAGACACATAGGATAAAGGCAGAACACACACACCCACCTAAGAACAATATAACTAGAATGTCTGCACTGGAACTTACAGACACGGAGAAGTGAACTAGAGAGTGAAGTTAAAAAGATGGGGAGGACCCAGGGTGAGCTGCATGCGATATGGAAATATAGAACGACGTGGTATTAGCTGTTTTAGGTTCACTTAAGGATAGAAGCCCGAGGAAGAAGAAGAAGAAGAAGAAGAAGAAGAAGAAGAAGAAGAAGAAGAAGAAGAAGAAGAAGAAGAAGAAGAAGAAGAAAAAGAAGAAGAAGAAGAAGAAGAAAAAGAAGAAGAAGACGAAGAAGAAGAAGAAGAAGAAGAAGAAGCCCATACTGGTGGTATTAGTAGTCATGTCTGCCCACAACCTTTCCTCGTATGTTGTCACGTTGACCCACTCCTCTCCTCAATAACATTTATCAGGCCTCCACACCTGTTCAATTGTCCTGCGCCATCAAAGACCTTCTTATTTTTTAGTCTGTGACCCTTCTAGTGGTATTTCTCATACTCTCTTCTAGTGGTATTTCTCATACTGTCTTCTAGTGGTATTTCTCATACTGTCTTCTAGTGGTATTTCTCATACTGTCTTCTAGTGGTATTTCTCATACTGTCTTCTAGTGGTATTTCTCATACTGTCTTCTAGTGGTATTTCTCCTACTGTCTTCTAGTGGTATTTCTCATACTGTCTTCTAGCGGTATTTCTCATTCTTCTAGCGGTATTTCTCATGTCTTCTAGTGGTATTTCTCCTACTGTCTTCTAGCGGTATTTCTCATACTCTCTTCTAGCGGTATTTCTTATACTGTCTTCTAGTGGTATTTCTCATACTGTCTTCTAGCGGTATTTCTCCTACTGTCTTCTAGTGGTATTTCTTCTACTGTCTTCTAGTGGTATTTCTCCTACTCTCTTCTAGCGGTATTTCTCATACTGTCTTCTAGTGGTATTTCTTATACTCTCTTCTAGCTGTATTTCTCATAATGTCTTCTAGCGGTATTTCTCATGTCTTCTAGCGGTATTTCTCATACTCTCTTCTAGTGGTATTTCTCATACTGTCTTCTAGCGGTATTTCTCATAATGTCTTCTAGCGGTATTTCTCATGTCTTCTAGCGGTATTTCTCATGTCTTCCAGTGATATTTCTCCTACTGTCTTCTAGTGGTATTTTTCCTACTGTCTTCTAGTGGTATTTCTCATAATATCTTCTATTGGTATTTCTCACACTGTCTTCTAGTGGTATTTCTCATACTGTCTTCTAGTGGTTATTTCCCATACTACTAGTGGTATTTCTCATTACGTTTTCTAACGGGTTTTCTTTCACTGTGTTTTTATTTTATTCCATATGTTTTCTAGTTGTAGGTCTCAAACTTTCTTCTAATAATATTTCTTATCCTGTCTTGTAGTGGCGGGGAGGGAATAAAGGCTCCCCGGTGTTACCTTTTATCCAGGGCAAACCCCTATCATTGTATCAATCCCTGTTATAGGCACCTAGTATCATAGATTCAATCTGTATCATGGTGTCAATCCCTATTATACGCATCTTTTATGATCATTATGATGACAATCCCTTTTATAGGCATCTCTCTCCTCCCCCACCATGGAATCACCCCTATTATTGCATCAATTTATATTATTGTAATCTTTTATCATGGCACCACCCTTATCACAGTGTCAGTCTCTATGATACCTATCCATGGTATAATCGACTTCTGTTGTGGTATTAACTAGAGCTGTACCGAATAGGGAATTATCACTATTCGACCGAATACGAATAACGGGACCAACTATTCGGCCGAATACGAACACGAATAGTGTATAAAATAAATTTAAAAAACAAACATGTCAGCCATACCATTCCCATTTGGGATGTAATTTTTCGTTATTTGAAGACCCACCCCGGCTTTTGTCGGGGGCCCTGAATATAGCTCAGCCATACCATTCCCATGTGGGATGTAATTTTTCGTTATTTGAAGACCCACCCCGGCTTTTGTCGGGGGCCCTGTATATAGCTCGGCCATAAATATGGCACAACGGCTAAACGGGGTTGCTGGAGCCTATTCACGGGTGATCCTCATCCGTATGGTGGCACTTTGTGTCACCGGGTGTTTATCGCTTTTTGTGATGTCCTGGTGGGGTACAATTTACATACATGCATCCTTCAGTCAGTCCATGGTAACTAATACCTAGGAATGAAATTATTCTAAGTATTATAACAAGAACTAAACTTGGAAATTGTCACTGACAGCTTAGTTAATGTATGAAAGCGGCATTAGCTTTCAACAATAGGAATAAACTCACAGGGAGCAAGTACAGCAGGGATCTACCAGTCGTCAGTAGAAATTATCCTCGTCAACGAGCGTTTCGGCCCACGATTCCTAGACGCTTTCGGAGGAGGGCCCACCTGAGTTCATGAAGCTCAGGGCTGGTTCCCTGCTGCACGAAATCACCGAATGGTGTTTTTCTTTCAGATAGAGACAAGACGACTTGGTGGTTTGCAGAAGGTACTGTGAGATAAGAAGTCGTTGCGGCAGCCTAATTAGAACAGTCATCGTGCCTGGATGACCGAGCGACAAGCTTATGATTGGTTTACCGGACACATGTTGGACTTTATTAGCAGGTGGCAGAGGAACACTGGCAGACAATTCGGACACGATAGACTTTCAAAGGGTGAGAAACCCTTTTCCACTAGAGACCCGGACCAGCTCACCGAGGCCCGTCCCCTACGTTGTTGCGTTGCGT